ACGGACTCATATGTTAGAAAATATTTTTTATGATTATGAAACTGGATTGTTTGCTTTTATTATCATGCATTTTATCATTTAAACATGTGGGACCAACACTGACAACAATACATAAAGCATGCACCATACACAAACTATTGCCTTAAACATACCTTGTATCCGGGACTATGATCCAGGTCGTGTGGTAGAACGCCCATAAGGTTTCACATCGGAACGAATCCCGTGCTAAATTATGAGACGAGTCATTGGCTTCAAACTTCCTTGACCGCCTCCGTGGTCTTGTGGTAGAGCGTCCGCCCGGAGAGCGGAAGGTCCAGGGTTCGATCCCGGGCCGCGTCATACAAAAAGACGTTAAAAGATTGTACTTGTTGTTACCCTGTCTGGCGCTCGGCATTAAGGGGCTAAAACAAGGACTGGTCGGCTCGGAGTCAGTATACTGTGTCTGAGTGGGGTATTCATGTTAAACTGCGGCATGGTATCTCAGTGAGCTAGCACTATAAATCGGCATCAGTCCGGACTAGTACAAGCAGCCACACACACACATACACGTGCATGCACGTCGCTATATAAGTGCAATGATCTTGGACGCGACGTTAAACCCCATTTCACCTCACCTCACCTCACCTCACCTCACCTCACCTCACCTCACCTCACCTCTGGCTGAATAAACACAATGCACAGTTGCATGAAATTTGTCATATATGGTAAAAGTGTGATTTTACTGTCATCCTGTAACTACAAAGAGCAGACTAAGCTGGCTTCATCAGTGCCACCCAGGTCTCAAACACAACACTGTGACCACCATGTAGCACGTGACATCGGGCGGTATGACGTGCAAGGGGGGTATGCCAGATTTACCATTGCCATTCAGACAACCAACCATAGTTTTGTTTCTTCATCATTGATGAAAAACAATCCGGGTAATAGTATAACACCGTGCTCCGTAACGCGTGCTCCGTAACTCCGTAATGTTTGTTTCCTGAAATAGTGTTGGTTCGAATTTTCGAACACTGCTTTTCAACGGCACGTGTGAGGAAGAGGATGGCCTAGTGGTTTAAGCGTTCGCTCGTCACGACGAAGACCCGGGTTCGATTCCCCACATGGGTACAATGTGTAAAGCCCATGTCTGCTGTTCCCCGCCGTGATATTGCTAAAATATTGCTAAAAGTGGCGTAAAACCATACTCACTCACTCACTCACTGTGAGGAAGACGTAGAATAATAGTTCCAAAATATCGTTGAAATGAACCTTTCCATGTTGAGGTTGTTGTCATACTGATGATAACCAGAAAAGCTGACAATTTGAAGATATTCCCCAAGTATTCCAAATCATTGAAAATAGAATGATTTTGAAAATTATAACCCTTCAAGAATACCATGACTTATTTTCTCTTTTCTTGTTAATGTTGGATTAATTTACAGCATTACTTGTGTATATGACGGGACTCTAGGAGCTTGTACAGGTGGAGACATTTGGAAAAGTGAGTGAGTGAGTGAGTTGGGTTTAACGCCGCTTTTAACAGTATTCCAGTTATATCACGGCGTGTCAGCGTAAAATGGTAGGAAAGTCCGAAGTGATGCAGGTCTCAGACGTTTACCACTTCGGCGAAATCCACGAGCACGGGTAAAGTGCTGAGAAGCCTTGATACATAATCGGGGCGAACCGGGATTCGAACCCACAATCATAGGTTCCCCAAGGGACGCAACTCTACACAGCGAATCGCGGCGCCTTAGACGACTGGGCCACCCTTGCCCACACATTTGGAACATGTACATCGAGTAACAGGTATGAAAGATATTTTCCTCCAGAAGTTTAATAATTCGATCTTGCTTTATGAAATTTAGTCAAAAGTCTGGTCGGAATGGTAAAACATGAGTCATGCAAAAAAAAATGAATTACCCAGATCAAATGTGAATAATGGATAATAAAGATTTCCATGGGAATATTGCAGCTATATCAAGGCAGATGTTGACCTGATCGTAAACATTAACAGGAAGAGGAAAGAAAAACGAGGAAAGTATTGATTAATTTGACACAGTTTACCTTCTAATGAGGCTTATGTTTTATCAAACATCCCGAGTGCCTCAATCAAATGTATATTTCAACACCTGCACAAATGAGCTGGTATGTAGTACTAACGTTTTAACTACTAGGCTACCACATCGTCACAGTAGTAGTAGTAGTAGTAGTAGTAGTAGTAGTAGTAGTAGTGGTGGTGGTGGTGGTGATGGTAGTAGTAGCAGTAGTAGTTGAAGTAGCAGTGGTGGTGGTGGTAGTAGTAGTAGTAGTAGTGGTGGTGGTGGTGGTGGTGGTAGTAGTAGCAGTACTAGTTGAAGTAGCAGTGGTGGTGGTGGTGGTAGTAGTAGTAGTAGTAGTAGTGGTGGTGGTGGTGGTGGTGGTGGTGGTAGTAGTAGCAGTAGTAGTTGAAGTAGCAGTGGTGGTGGTGGTGGTGGTAGTAGTAGTAGTAGTAGTAGTGGTGGTGGTGGTGGTGGTAGTAGTAGCAGTAGTAGTAGAAGTAGCAGTGGTGGTGGTGATGGTGGTAGTAGTAGTAGCAGTAGTAGTAGAAGTAGTAGTGGTGGTGGTGGTAGTAGTAGCAGTAGTAGTAGAAGTAGTAGTGGTGATGGTGGTTTTGGTAGTAGTAGTAGTAGTAGAAGTAGTAGTAGTAGTAGTAGTAGTAGTAGTAGTAGTAGCAGTAGTAGTAGAAGTAGTAGTGGTGATGGTGCTAGTAGTAGTAGTAGTAGTAGTAGTAGAAGCAGTAGTAGTAGAAGTAGTAGTGGTGTCGGTGATGGTGATAGTAGTAGTGGTGGTGGTAGTAGTAGCGTTGGTAGTAATAGTAGTAGTAGTAGAAGTAGTAGTAGTAGTAGTAGTAGTAGTAGCAGTTGTAGTAGTAGTAGTAATGGTGGTGGTGATGGTGGTAGTAGCAGTAGTAGTAGTAGTAGTATTGGTGGTGCTAGTAGTAGTAGTAGTTGTAGTAGTAGAAGTAGTAGTGGTGGTGGTGGTAGTAGTAGTAGTAGTAGTAGCAGTAGTGGTAGTAGTAGTAGTAGTAGTATTAGTAGTAGTAGTAGTAATGGTGGTGGTGATGGTGGTAGTAGCAGTAGTAGTAGTAGAAGTAGTAGTGGTGGTGGTGCTAGTAGTAGTAGTAATAGTAGTAGTAGTAGTAGCAGTAGTAGTAGAAGTAGTAGTGGTGGTGGTGATGGTGGTAGTAGAAGTAGTAGTAGTAGTAATAGTAGTAGAAGTAGTAGTGGTGGTGGTGATGGTGGTAGTAGTAGTGGTGGTGGTAGTAGTAGTGGTGGTAGTAGTAGTAGTAGTAGTAGTCAGCGAGCCTGACCACCCGGTCCAGTTAATCGCCTCTTTATGATAAGCATTTACGGCAAGCATGGGTTGCTGAAGACCTATTTTACCCCAGATCTTCACGGGTCAGTAGTAGTAGTAGTAGTAGTAGTAGTAGTAGTAGTAGTAGTAGTAGTAGTAGTAGTAGTAGTAGTAGTAGTAGTAGTCTGTGGCCCTAATGATTAGAAGCTGATAGAAGTACTTGTTAAAGCCCATTCCACAGTAAAGTCTAATCTTCCCTTTGAATGTTGCATATCAATGTAGAGAACTCCCATGCTAGGGTGCACGCTATTTTTTTCACATTCGTTATTTAATATGTTATGGCAGGTTAACTACAGTCATATGAAAAAAATCTGGTGTCCCTTAACTACTTTTGAGTAGTACACGTTGATGTTTTCATGGGACAATTCGAAAGCGGAACAGTGTCGAACAGGATGTACTTGACTTGGATCTCTTATCTAATTACGTTCCCTGTGTTATTGACGTAAGTGAGGCGGGACATTCGATCAATGCGGCAAAACATCAGACAAATGTCAGTGAGTGAGATTGTTTTAACGACGCTTTAAACGGTATTTCAGTCTTGAGACGGCGTGTCATCTTAAAGTGGGAGGAATGAATGGTTTAGACCTTTACTTCTTACAAGGGGCAATGGACGTGTTAGTCATCATGGCCCATGCTGATAGCATAACGTTGCAGAGTGAATGTTGTTTTACGCTGCAGGTAGTGATATTGTAGTAAAATGTCCAGTCTGTTGGCCATCCTAGTGGTAATGCAAAGGTCCACGCCGTTGGGGTTCGACACCGCACCATCGGTAGATTAGACATTGTGTCCACCTCGCCTCCATTTTACGTGAATTTCTAGAGAATTATTCTGCACCGAAATCTCCAAGGTGTGTTTAATTTACAGAGAGAAATGCGTACGGTTTTATGTTCTATTACTTATATTTGATGTTTTCTGAATATAAGCATTAGTATTAACTCGATCAGCAATTTCTGGTCATGTACTCATGTCATGATATAACGACAGACAGATATATGTCACATTACTATGTGACTATGTTATATTGATAGAATAGCTCTTTGTCATGAGGAATGTTTATCGAATCAATTTGTAAAACTTTATTTCTAAAAGACAAATCCATCTTTATTTTGTTGGGTGTGTGGATGAATGGATAAATGAATGTATTTATTTTCTCAAGTTCAGTTGAATCCGAAGATCACAAAATGGCAAATATATTATTTACAATATTTTATTTACATTACTTGAGTGTAATACAATGAAAGCATGGGATGCAGTGCGAATGAATACACAATTTATAATGTACAATTTGTGAGCAGTAGTGTGTATGTGTCAAGTAGATATACATAAGATATTTCTTAATATTCAATACAAAATAGCAAAGTGACAATAAAATATATTCTCAAGTATCACAATCAGTCTCGTCAGTTATGTCATGAACATCTGCTCCAAGAAACAGTGAAAACATATCAAGCATACATATACCCAGTGAAGATCCGGAGTAGAATAGGTCTTCAGCAACCCATGCTTGCCGTAAAAGGCGACTATGCTTGTCGTAAGAGGCAACTAACGGGATCGGGTGGTCAGGCTTGCTGACATAGTTGATACATGTCACCGTATCTCGGTTGCGTGGATCGATGCTCATGATGTCAATTACTGGATTGTCTGGTCCAGACTCGATTATTTACAGACCGCCGTCATATAGTTGGAATATTATTGAGTGCGACGTTAAACAACAAACTAACAAACAAGCATATATAAATATGTATATATTCAAGTATTCATTTACATCAAGGTTATCAATTAAAACTGAGAAGGAATAATTTCTGCCAGACATGAATGGTTCACAGCGAATTGATATGGCAAACATAGCCATGGCAATATCCATTACAATGGTTCCAATCATTCGAGAAGTGCCTCCTTGTCTGACTTTAATGCTAACTTCAAGGGGCTGCCTCAAGTGTGAGGTGGAATTCATTTATATTGTATCATATTATATAAGATAGCTACTTGATAAATCACAAAGAACAATTAAGAACGAAGAGTGTGTTATTTCCCGATATAAAATAGATCTATCATGAGGTCATTTCTGGACCTCGTACCTTGATGACGTCGTATATTGGACGACGTTAATTTTGAGAGGAGAGTGTCTAGTGAGTGTCCAAAATGACAATCCAATGTGAGAAATGGTACGGGTAATCAACGTGATGATTGTGAGAATATGCAGGACATAGTATCTTGTGTCATGTTTATAGAATAGCGCTTTGTCATAAGGACTAGCTATTGAAACCATTTGTGAGAAATAGCTCTAAATTAAAAATAAATCCGTTGAGACGACATTTGACAAATCTACAAATAGCAAAGTGCAGTGCAGCCCCGTTAATCAAGTACCGTTACAAGTACCTTAAAAAAGTCATTGTCACGGAATAATGTCGTGTGTTCATGTGTAGACATCCCTAACGGTACCCATCCGGAAAGCACAGGGTACGGACAAAACAGGTTTCACTGTGTTGACGCATGTACAAAGCACGAACCGGAATTAAAAAGTATAGGAAGATTTGATTCCGGAAACTTGTCGAGTCATATTACTCTAAAACGTCCCCGTAGCCTGAAAATAGAATTGTAGACCATTTCCCCAGTCATGTCATAATCCAAAATGAGTAACCCTTTGCCGTTTCGCTGGCAGTGTTATGCTAAAATAGTCTCCCCGGCAATGAAAGTAAAAAGGAATTCTTAATTCGAATTGTTACACATAGATTTAAAAGATATGACGGTCTCACTTCAATCTTTGATATATCCGAAGTTAGTTATAAAGAACAAATGGTTCGTCAAGAACAATATGTTCATGCATTTGCCTTAGATATATCCGAAGTTGGTTGAAGTGGCCAAATGGTTTCGATACAAAAAATATTTTTTAATATATCCGTCCCAATACCCGACGTTAATTACAGGAACTGACTCTAACACAAATTTTACGAATACGATCTCGCTACATCCGCGGTAAGATGGTCCCGGTCACTGTGGTCGGACACTCTGACACAAGCATCTCCAGAACTCCTCCCTGTCTTCCTCATCGCTTGGGTAGGCTATGTAAGAATCTGTGTGCAACAGTTTCAAAATTTCTGGCGGGATGTTCTTGGCAGGCACGGGTTCGAACATGATGATGATGAGAATGTCCCTCCCACTACTGATGCTCTCCATCTGGGCCATGCGCAGTTCGTACGTGCACCAGTAACTGTTGAGGAAGTTCTGGGACAGAACCACCACAGTCTTCCTGCTATTCTTGATGGCGCCAATGATGTTTGAAGCTATAGGATCTCCTGGCATAAAGTCACGGTGGTGGATGTTGAGGTTTATTCCATCATAAATTTCCATGTGGTGTTGCATGTCATTGACGACAAATGCACGGTCTTCATCAGCGTAGGAGACAAAAGCATCATGCATGAAGTACCCATCATCTGGAGTATTGTGGTCACTTTTATACTTAAGTCTGGCAGAGTAGAAGAGATAGCGTAACTTCCACCTGTATCTTCGAACCAACCCAACAATCACGACACAGAAGAAGAAAAGGATTCCAGCAGATGTGCCAAGGGAAATACTTACGGAAGCAAAGCATTTGGTCTTCATTTCGCTTATCAGATCTTGAAACTCGTCTTTATTTTTAATGTATCTTCTGTGATGGTTTTGCAAACAAAAATAGCCATACATATCATCTTGGGTCACTCCCGAATCAAGCAGCCAGCTTAAAGTCTCTAAATTCCAACATGTACACCCCAATGGGTTCCCACGCAGGTTCAACGTCAGGTTCGGGGAGACTAGTTTCAAAGCACTTATTTGTCTTCGAACATCTGACATAAGCCAGTGAATCTGATTGTTTGAACAATCTATCTGTTTCAACTTCTTTAGATGTCCCAGTTCAGGGGAAAAGTTGTACAGCGAGTTATTAGACAAGTTAAGAATTTCAAGCGATGTCAGATTACGAAATATCATCCCACTTACCTGCTCCAGACCGTTTGATGCGAGGTGAAGTTGCTTCAAGCGAAACAGATTTCTGAAAATCTTTCCCTCCGTATCATTGTATAGGTTCCATTTGAAGAAGTTGTACGATAAATTTAGCACTTCTAAGGAAACACAGTGTTGAAACAGATCTGGAGACAGCCACCGAGCAAGGTTGTTGGATAAGTCTAAAAAGGTTACATTGTCATATCCTAACAAAGTCCCTTCACGAAACTGAAGGAGATTGCTGGATAGATCCACTTGTTGTAAACTCTCAGCTTGAATCCTTACAGATGCAAGCGTATTAGTCAGTTGTGTAAAGTTCGAATGAACCTTCGTCAGGTTTGGGGGTAGTGTTAAATTTGCTACCCCTAAATCAGGCGTTGTGTTATACGGATATGTATAAGGCTGTATTTCATAAACCCAAGACATTGGATGGATACCGTTTACTTCATCAGAAAACTGTACCTCCAACATATCTCGAATGGGCACATCTATATGGTAAGACACTCCACTGAGGTGCAAATACTTTAAGCCTGTGAGATATTTCAGTTCCTGGAAGTAAGCTCCATAATCAAGTTTATGCCGTTGTGCAGAGATGAAGCTCAGAGTGTTTGGCAAGAGACGCAGCACGCCTCGCTCGATGTTCATGATACTGTTGTCATCCACATAGAGTCGTGTTAGGGACGTGTTGTTCAGATATTGCACATCCTCTTGTTTGATCACGACACATTTCGGATGCATTAGGACGATTCTGTTCGCTACCAGGATTCTAATGTTAGATGACTGAAGGCCGTATAAAGCTTGACCTAATTTCGTGAATCCAAGATGCATGTTGGAGGATATGTTCAGGGTTTGAATGTTTGGCATATGTGAAAACGTGTCAGCCTCAATGTCAGTTATAGAACAGTTTGATATATCCAAGTATGTTAGGTATTGTACATGTTCAAAGGATGTATTATGAAGGTTCCCTATGGTACATTGTCCATTATCTCCAGACATTGTAAGGCTGGTAAACTTGGTGAGGTTAGAGAATCCTAAACCAAAAGTTGCGTTGGTGATTCCGTCAATGAATAAGGTCTCCAGCGAAACAAGCCAGTGAAAAACATCAGGGTAGGTGTTTAAGGTTTTCGTGTCAACAGAACACACACTTTTACGCCCATTTCCATTGTCGTTCAATTTCAAAACCTTCAAGCTAACAAGGTCTTTGAATAATTGTGGATTTTGGCCCAAAACATGTAAAGCAATATGATTTGTTTCTAAGTTAAGGAAAACCAGTTGGTACAGTTGTCCAAACACTCTCTCTTCCACAATCGATATCTCGTTAGTGCCCAAATCTAAATGGGTCAGATTATGATATGGTCTAAAGTCGTCATTTCCCAATTTTCTTATGTTGTTACGTTCCAGAAGGATCACATTGGTGTTTGTAGGAAGGATGAGATCCTGCAGTGAAGATATGTTCCGGCCTGAACAGTTGGCTATGTTCATGTCCCCACCATAGCTTCTGTTGTCATGCCAACAGTGACAGCGACGGTCACAACTTTCATTCTCATCAACTTCGTTGCTGGTCATGGTCGATGTGGCTTTCAGGGCCAGTGTGAAAACCAAGAGCAAGATTGTATTCATAGCAGCACTATCTGCAATCAAATGATATTACTTTAAATAACCAGTGCGCAAGCATTCGTATTGACTAGCAGTAGTATAAACACGGTAATCGTCCACACGGTGTGTGTGTGTGTGTGTGTGTGTGTGTTTGTGTGTGTGTGTGTGTGTGTGTGTGTGTGTGTGTGTGTGTGTGTGTGTGTGTGTGTGTGTGTGTGTGTGTGTGTGTGTGTGTGTGTGTGTGTGTGTGTGTGTGTGTGTGTGTGTGTGTGTGTGTGTTGGCGAATGATGAAAACAATCACGGCCACCAGTCACTAAATTTGCGTCACAATCATTCTGTCTTCTTTCATTTGTCATCTGAAATAACATCCCCTCGTGCACTTGTGCTTCCTACTCAAGTTACCAAACACACCCTGTTACCACACACGTTCAAGATGCATATTACGCTGAGGAGAATTTACGATTGTGCATTGATACGTCTAACTGCTGGCCTGGCATGCAATGCCAAATTTCTTATCGCCAGGGATCACAGGTGTGATCCCAAGGAGACGTCTGATTAAACTCTTTGCTTCGTCAATGCTTCGTCTAGCCCAAACTGGTACCTGGTACCACTAGCAACGATACAATGTGTGTGTGTGTGTGTGTGTGTGTGTGTGTGTGTGTGTGTGTGTGTGTGTGTGTGTGTGTGTGTGTGTGTGTGTGTGTGTGTCGGGGGTGGGTGGTTTAAGGCTAAAGGCTAAAAGTACGAAGAAAACACTTCATAATTACAATTTTTCTTCAAATTTTCAGTCTTGGTTGGCACATATCTTCACTTTAACCTCCCTCCTCACTTTTGAAAAACTGATGCCTGTTTAACATTCGATTTTTGTATGCAGCCTTATTCATCCCACAAAGGAAATATATAACAATATGGCAGAATATATATTCCTGTTTCGGTATTAAAAGCTATTATCTGCCGTCGGTCCTATTCCACACAATGAATGCCTGTCAGGGATCCGTCCCCTGAGTGAGCAATTAAATAAAAACGACAAAACCCTTTCCATATTCATTAAAAATCTCAGAAAACAGAGACGATTGTACGATTCCGACTATACTATGAGCTATGAATCACTATCAAATAGGGATGATACCAGGTGTTCGCGAAAAGGTGAGCGTATCCTACCCCACCAGTTGCACCCGTTACAAACACATGCAACGCCAAGTCAATTCTTCACCTGTTAAAAAATACCCTTCAAATGTATCTTTAATTATATGTTCAAGTAACTGATAAGGCATGCGTTGTGGATATGGTAGTCAAACGGCTGAAAAAACAACAGAAAAAGCCCTCTAGTTCGATCAAGAAATCTGAGGTGGAAGCAGGCAGACTGGGCGCCGCTCTGTTCGTTGAAATTGTGTCAAACATCGGAAAGCTGTTTTAACCCATAAGGGGGATTTTTTTCTTTTGGTGTCTTTTGGAATCTGGATGAGGATTGCAGTAAAACACGCGAGACAAGTATTTTGGGGTTATGTGGTTAAAAATTCAAACCACAGTCCGGTCATGTAAACACTTGACTTGCCGCTGCATGTGTTTGTCATAGGATCAACACAAATTGATAGTGATTCATAAACACATGCTGAGGATATAGTCGGAATCGTACAACGGATATGTCTAATGGTTATAAAAATGGCTATGGTGTTTCTATTTACTTTTATTATAATTATGGTTTTGTATTTTTTATTATCATGCATTTGATCATTTAAACTATATGTGGCATCAACATTGCCAAACATACATAATGCATGCACAATGCAAAAGCCAGCGCCAACAACATACCTTGTCTCCTTGTCTGTGTCCCTAGTCGTGTGGTAGGACGACGATACCATATACATAAGGACGCGAGGCTGATACTTAATAGGATCTTCCTCGTATTTAAGTACAGTATCGCCGTTGTGACGCACGGTCTGAGCTAATTATAGAATCGTTTAATATAGATGACATTTTCAAGTTTCGTAAACCCGATCAGATTTCATAAGGAAACGAAACTGACAATTTGGGCTTGTTGTTATTATTTCAAGTTTCCTTGTATTTAATTACATTTTCCCCATCGTGACTTGCATGTTTACAGCAACCGAAATCAGCTTTCACAGTGTATCTTGTACGACCCTCCTGCCAATTTCTCGAGAATTGGGTATAACGGGAAATCTTCAGAAAAAATGATCTGACCAACATCCGGCGTCTTTGGAAATTTCTTGAAAAATGCAAAACATTACAAATGCTCAATGAACAATGACATCGGACATCAGTTTTGTCACTGATGCGTCAAATTTGGAAATGTCCTCCAAAAGAACTCTACAAAACGTTTTGAAAGCTTCACTTGAAGCGGAATATCATTTGAACTCAGTAATCATCCTGCGATAGTAAGGCGGTTTCGTTTTACAGACTGCGATCTCAGCTAAAGGAATTAAGGCGTACTTATGGTCATTACGAAGCTATTGTCAACTGATCTTGTATGTAAGCTGCCCAGGAGACTTACATGCATGGGTGAGCATGATGAAGCCTACTTCATTTGAATGGGAAATATAATCACGTTTGGCAAACTTGAAACTGCTTTTCACATGCATATAAGAGGGAGACGTACGACCTTCATACCAAAACAAGCTGAACCTGAATGCATGAAGCCAATCGTTGAAATAAACGTTTCCACTTTGCGATACACTGACTATACCTAGAAATCATAAACACGAAGCCGGGTTATATTGATAACTTAACCTGTTACATCGTAACATCAGACATTTCGTAAAAATGTTATCTCCGTAAACAAATATTGAAGTTTCTTTTCTTCCTGAAGTTTAACCTTTCGAATTTGTTCATGGAATTCAGGCAGAAAATCAAGGTTGAAAGTCTACTGGTTGGAATGTCAAAACATGTGTCACACTTCCAAGGTTGTAATCGAATACCCAGATGTGAATAATTGGCAATACAGTTTTCCACTGAGCAGTCGGCATTATATTTTATCTACGAGAATATCACTGCACCTGTTGCTCTGGTCGTAAACAACAGGAAAACGAAATCGAAGCGAGGAAATTAATGAATCCAGTGGATACAGTTTTCCTATTAATAATATATTTTATTATTTTGTAGTTATAGTTTTGTTTGTTTGTTGTTTAACGCCGCACACAGCAATACTCCAGCTATGTGACGGCGGTCTGTAAATAATCGTTATTGACTTCATGAGCATCGATCCGCGCAAATTGGATATGATGACATGCATCAACCAAGTCAACGAGCCTGACCACCCGATCCCATTAGTCGCCTCTTACAACAAGCATAGTCGCCATTTACGGCAAGCATGGGTTGCTGAAGACCTATTCTAACCCGGATCTTCACCTGTCTGTAGTTGTAGTAGCAGCAGCAGTAGTTGTAAGGGTAGTACTGATGGACATTTGCGCCATATCCACCCATGAATGCATGCTGAGAACACAAGGTTTGGTGCTCTCAAACGCGTTACAAAAGCAAAAATAGACAATAATGAGTATTGAAGTTTCAGGAGACTGGTTTTCAGGGCTTCATTGGAGACTGTTTGGTAGAAACAGGCTGTTGCAATGGCAAATGTTCTGTGACCATATTCATAATTAGCTAATAAAAGTTCGTGGTAATGGGAATTCTAAAGCAAACTCTCATCTTCCATTTGAATGCCACATGTTAATGAAGAGGAATCACATGTGAGTTTGTAATGTATACTGCTTAAAACAAGTTGAAGAACATCTGCGTTTTTCACATAACTTTAGTAAATATGTCACGACTCATTCATGTGACAATTCGAAAGCGGCAAATTATAGAATAGGACGGCTGATTTGGGTAAAGTGATTTAAGGAAATTGACCAACACGTGAAAATGTATCGTATTTGCGTATTTAGCCCTTGTTTACATTGGTTGTGCTGTCGAAGCCCTATGGAGTAAGTGAGTGAGTTTTGCTTTACGCCGCTTTTAGCAATATTCCAGCAATATCACGGAGGGGGACACCAGAAATGGGTTTCACATATTGTACCCATGTGGAGGATCGAACCCGGGTCTTCGTCGTGACAAACGAACGCTTTAACCACTAGGCTACCCCACCGCCCCGAAGCCCTATGTAAACCTAGCGATACGGTCACTTTGATGAATAAAGACATAACGTCATGTTCATCACTGTCACAGTTGTAGTAGCACACCGACATAATGATACCTAACAATATGTAAATCGCTTGCATGAGGCAAGGCTGCTCTGATTGCAGAATAAGCGCGTTTCTTTACAAACAAAAGACAAGTCCGGGCACGTCATATGCAAATCAGCTTCTGGTAGTGGCAGAATGGTGAGTCATTGTTATTGACGCAGATGATGAGGCCGTATAGTTGATCAATGGGGAAAGAGATGAATGTGAGTGAGTGAGTAAGGTTGGTTTAACGCCGCTCCGAACAGTCTTTCAATTATAGGATGGCGTGTCATCTTTGTGTGGGAGGAAAGACCGGTTGGATGCAGGTCTTAGGCGTTTACCACTCACAATCGGTAATGGGCGTTTCAATTGTCATGATCCATGCCTATAGAAAAAATTTCAGAATGAATATAATTTTACGCCACTTTTAGCTACATCACGTAAAATCAGTAGGTTAGTCATTGTGTCCACCCGATCAACATTTTACGGGATCTTCTCGGTTTTATTGTACCCCGAAATGCGCATATGTTTTATAACATACTTTTGATATTTATCTAACTATAAGCACTGATATTTACTCGATCAGGAATTTTTGGGCATTTCTCATGTCACGTTATATAAACAGCGCGACATATGGCTCATTACTGTGGCCCGCATCCGTGGTCTGAGTAGGGTATTCATGTTAAACTGCGGCATGGTGTATCTCAGTGGGCTAGTACAAGCAGCCACACAAACATACATCTTAACCCATCTAACCCAACACACAAACATTCTTTATACTGACAACAAGCGTATTTACCATCACCCTGAGTATTCTATTTTAGTATCGGTATTATTCAGTAACACATTTCTGTGTTGTTATGTGCATTTCGACATGTGAATTATTTTTATAATATTCATTTCGGCATGTGCTTTGTATTACTATTAAATTCATTTCGGCATGTGCTTTGTATCACTAATTCATTTCGGCATGTGCTTTGTGTTACTAATTCATTTCGGCATGTGCTTTGCGTTACTAATTCATTTCGGCATGTGCTTTGTATTACTAATTCATTCGGCATGTGCTTTGTATTACTAATTCATTCGGCATGTGCTTTGTGTTACTAATTCATTTCGGCATGTGCTTTGTTTTTATCCTTCATTTCGGCATGAGAATTGTTTATATAAAATTTGACCCGTGAAAAATCCGGGGTAGATTAGGTCTTCAGCAACCCATACTTGCCGTAAAAGGCGACTATGCTTGTCGTAAAAGGCGACTAACGGGATCGGGTCGTCAGGCTCGCTGACTTGGTTGATACATGTCATCGATCCCAATTGCGTGGATCGATGCTCATGCTGTCAATCACTGGATTGTCTGGTCCAGACGCCATTATTTACAGACCGCCGTCATATAGCTGGAATATTGCTGAGTGCGGCGTTAAACAACAAACCAACCAACCAACAATTATATGAAATTTAATTCAATTGGGCATGTGATCGAATCGTTGTATGATTCATTCCGGCATGTGACTTGTTTTAACAATTAATTTCGCCATGTGTGTATGTGTGCCCTAGTCGCCGCAATGCGCTATCAAGAGTTGAGTCTCTTTGTCGTACCAGGATTCGATAGTCATAGGTTGGAATCCAAGGCTTCACCTGGATATAATGCTCTGGGTTTTTGTCATCGAAGTGGTAAATGTCAACGGTGTGCATTGGTGGTAAACCTCGAAAATCTCCTGAAAAAATTGGGGAAGAAGGTTGCTGGGGCGACTGGGACGGCGGTTGCCTGAGGATAACACGAGGTGAATTTGTACCTGAGAGCAAACGCTATGGGATTGGATGATCAGCTGACCTCGACGTATCAGAATAATCAGTATCAGATATTACAAGCACAAATAATCCGTCTGAGACAACGCTGAAGATAAAACTGCACAAATTGCTTCAGTCTTCTGGGAAAAAACGGTACTTTCTAATGTAAATTGGGGATTGGGTGGGTTGGGGGAATAGACCCAGTGAGGGGTGAGGCAACCACAATAATGTTCAACAGGTTCCGAGTCAAACGAAAGGCAGTCAGGAGAGTATAGAGAGCATCTTCTGTTTTCTCTTCTAACGTTGTCAGCAGGTTGGGCCAAAGTCTGGACATTCTCTAACGACTGGGAGGGCGATAGAGATAGCAGAGCTCAGTGGCCGGTCGTAGAGGATGGGTAATGTCTTCATTCATGTATGGGAGGCCATAGGCCCATGTACATTCAGTAATATACAGTATATAGTAACACAATACTTAGCAACAATATGGGCATAATATTAGGTCTTTGTACGTAGCAATAGATCGTCCTTATCATACTTAGCTATATTTTTTAGTTTACAGGTATTTTTACTATTTGCGAGATTGCTCAAGGTAATATTAACCAATGGATTGATATAAAATCTAACAGGAATTGATATAAAATCTAACAGGAATATATTTTGTGTCTTGATGATGCGTAGGACGGGCAAACGAACACAATGTGGACTTCATGCTCAATAGAACCATTGTTCCAACCGAGCGTTGTGAATAAACAATAAAAGAAAAGCCCGACATTTGCACCTTACTCTCAAAGTAACAGGAAACTAAGTATTGGGATCGTCTTAAACATTCAGTTCAAGAGAAAACTAAAATCACCGCCATGTTGTTACTGGCACGGTGGTTCAGAAGGTACCGAGGTGCATTGACGTTCGGTGTCGCCATGGCCAGTCTAAGGCATCAATGAGCAACTCGCATGACCC